TACATATGTATATGTATATATAAATATTAATACAGAAAATCTAACTGCTCATTTTAAATCAATACTTTTACTTTTAATACTTAAGTACAAAAAATATCAGATACTTTAAGACTTTTACTCAAGTAATATTCTTAAAGGAGAYTTGGTTAAAGAAAAWTTTTGGTAAGATACTTGTACTTTTACTGAAGTATCACTTTGTTGTACTTTATACATCACTGGTTAAAACATCGATGTGTCAAACTCATTTTTTACTCCCAGCCGGAGACGTCACGGCCGACACCGACGACAAAGTCAACGCTTCGGACGACAGCGACGAGGAGGAGGAGGCGATGGAGATGGACTGCGAGGCGGCTTCTGGTGACGTTCCCATGGAATCKGATCCAGCCGGAGGCGAGGAGGAGGACGTGAAAGCGGCCCTGACTAAATCCAAGTCGGAGGCTGCTCCTAAACCAGGCGCCGTGTGCAGCGGTTTGCCTCAGAGCAGGGAGGAGCTGGAGTCCCTGATCCAAACCATCCACCAGACTGTTAATGACAGCGTGTTGCCCCGCCTCAACAAGTGCCTCACTGCCAAGGTAACACACACCTACAATTTCTCTCTATCCTTGTGGGGACTTTTTTATATCCTAACTCTGACCATTTACCCTAAAATTAACCTCACAGGTACTTATCTGACCCCAAAACTAACATAAATCTTGGTCCTAAACCTAACCCCACATCCGTAATTTGCATTTGGACCCGTCCCCACGATGCAGTCCTTTGGGGACCAAACGTGCATTGTGGGGACCAATGCCCGGTCCCCACGATGCACGTTTGGTCCCCATAAGACTGCTTTTTCAGAAAATTGTAGGAAAAACAAGGCCACACACACACACCCTTGTATTTGCATCAAACCGAGGACTTTGTATTGACTTCCATTCATTTTTGTAACTATATTTATGCCTAACCCAGATCGTTTCCCTAAAATTAACCATCACTGGTCTATAGTTAACCTAGGCCTGTCGCGATAGACAGTAAATCAATTAATTGCACGATAACTTTTTTTGAGGTCGGTAAAAAAAAGACGGCGATAAGTTTCATTTTCCTGCTTGTTTTTTTCCTTCGTCTCTCTCCCTCTCTGTGCTCCGCTGCACAGGAGCTCAGCTGACTCCTCCCCTCCTGTTTTCTTAGTGTCGGGAGGAGTGAACTCTCGCGTTAGCGTGAGAGCTCGTAGCAATAACAAACTAAAGAAATGTTTCAAAGCAGAACGCGGCTGCTGCAGTGTCGGAGCACTAGAGCCTGAATTTCGCTGCGGGGAGACACGGAGAGAGAGAGAGAGAGAGAGAGAGAGAGAGAGAGACACAGAGAGAGAGAGAGAGAGAGAC